CTTTATTTATTTATGTATTTATTTATTTATTGAGATGGAGTCTTGCTCTGTCATCTGGGCTGGAGTTTACTAATGGCGCAATCTTGGCTCACTGCAACCTCCACCTTCCAAGCGATTCTCCTGCCTCAGCCTCCTGAGTAGCTGGGATTACAAGCAGGCACCACCACGCCCAGCTAGTTTTTGTATTTTTAGTAGAGACAGGGTTTCACCATGTTGGTCAGGCTGGTCTGGAACTCCTGACCTCAGGTGATCCATCTGCCTCAGCCATCCAAAGTGCTGGGATTACAGGCGTGAGCCACCACACATGGCCTTTATCTTAATATCTAAATATTGCCTTTAAAATGAAAGACCCTGAGAAAATTAAAAAGAGCATTTTGCTTTTTAGTAAACTGCCATACTGAATCACCACTAAACTGGCGATATGTGACATCAAAGGGTCATGAACAGCCTAGCTTGAGTCCAAAAGATCTGAGGCCTCCATTTTCACAGTAAAAGAATATCTGTTCCAAAGTAATTTTTGACAATGAATGAAATCTTAAAACAAGGTAAGCAGTCCCATTTACAGTTATCATGGGGTATTGAAATAGTTGACCTGGAAGCTGAGTGACGTAGTGCACAGGGCCTTTGGGGTCAGAGCACTTGGGAAGTCAGGCTGACCTGGGTAAAAGTCTGCACTCTGCTCCTAACTAGTAACTATGGTCAGATGCCCTGAACACCAGTTTTACATTGCTCATATGTAAAATGAAGGAATTGGGAAATTGGATAAATGATCTCAAAACCTCTTCCAGGTCTAAACAATCATACATTTCTTTCCCAGGAAGTAGTCCTTAGGTATTTGTCCTTAACCTGCTTCTGTTTCAAGACGACAGCTTTTTGTTTTTAGATGCAATATGAAAAAACATAACAATCATGCAAATTGCTATTTTTCTTTCTTTCTTTTTCTTTTTTTTTTTTTTTTTTTTTTTTGCTGAGATGGAGTTTCACTCTTGTTGCCCAGGCTGGAATGCAATGGCATGATCTTGGCTCACTGCAACCTCCGCCTCCTGGGTTCCAGCAATTCTCCTGCCTCAGCCTTCTGAGTAGCTGGGATTACAGGCATGTGTCACCACCCCTGGATAATTTTATATTTTTAGTAGAGACAGGGTTTCATCATACTGGTCAGGCTGGTGTCGAACTCCTGACCTCAGATGATCCATCAGCTTTGGCATCCCAAAGTGCTGGGATTACAGGCATGAGCCACTGCACCCAGCTGCACATTGCTGTTTTTCAATTCACACTTAACTTTACCTTCTCTTAGGGCAAAATCGAACAGAGTCTAAGATATGGTGGAAACTAATATAGAAGAATTTCTCCAATGAAATAAGAATAGGATATTGCTGTTTAAACTTCATGTACATTTAAAATAGGCTAGTTTGTTTGCAGAACAGTAACTCAAACCCGGTATTTGCCCCTAGCAGCTTACATTGGAAGGGAGTGGTGGCAGTTTACTCGAAATGAATAAGAAAATAAATCAGCTAACAACTCAAGACTGTACAGCCATGCAGGCTGCCTTTTAAGTTTCTGAATTCTGATTTATTTTTCTTTCCCACCTTCCCATGGCGAAGGGCAGTCAATGAATACTCAGATCAAGCGTCTGTCTGGAAAGCTGGCTGTCTTCCAGAAATACAATTAGGTATGAAAGAAAAGTCTCATCCCTCACCTCCTTAAACTATTACTCCAACCCTTTCACAGCAGAACACTAGAGTGGGAATGAGAAGTGTGTCCCTTGTGTGTCGCCTTAGTTCTTTCGACGGTATGGTCATATCCATCCGTTTGTGGCATTGTACAAGGAGTCCGTTAAGGTACAAGGGGTGTGAGACCCAGTGACTGCCCCCAAAGTGCTTGTCACTAGAGCTTCTCTCCCTCACTTCTACTTGGTCTTGACATTTTTCTTTCAGAGGGTTGCCTCATACTGACTTCTGGTAAAACCTTGGAGTCCTAGGCCTAAGCCTGCTCAGGGTGTGCCTCCTTTGCCTCCTCCTCAGGGCCTATTCCGGTGGGACAGAAGTGCTACTTTGGGGATGGACTGAAACAAGTCACTGGGCTTCCACTGGCCATTGGCACTTGCTTGACGTGGTGAGGAGGGGCCGTGCTTCTGCAGGCCCACACCTGTAACCTGAAGATACTGCTGTGATGAGAGTGGAGGAAGTGCATGTAACCTCTTCAGCACAATGCGTAGTGAGTGAACAGACAAGCTGTGAGCCTTGGGCATTATCACGATGCTGGTGGAGAAAGCCCGCACTGCTGATGGAGGCTGACAGCCTGGATTTGAATCCCCTCATTTGGCATATAATCTTGGCAAAGTCTGAAAGCCTCAATTGCCTCGTTTGTAAAATGGGAAGATAGTAGGACTTGCTACCCAGGCCGGGGCTGGGGCAGGATGGAGGGGGCGCATGAGGATTAAGGCAGAGCTCAGCGGAGTGCTCTCTAAGGATCCACGAATATGGACCTTCGTTTTTACTATTGCCTATGAGGACCCCGCCAACAAAGCTGGCAGCTTTAACATCCGTGCCCTTAACCGAATAAGCTCTCTTAGGCCCTGCATGCAGGCAGACTTCCTTCAATTGGCGCGGGGGGCTGGTGGGGGAGTGGAGGACGCTCTGGGACCCTCTCGGGGTGGGGCGGGTGGGGTGGACTTGACCCGGGGCCGGCGCCCGGGGACGCGCGGGTCTGCGGCTCCGCTGCAAGGTCTCTCCGGGGACCGGGGCCGGCGGAGCGCGCGCCCGAGAGTAGGGGCCGGGCTGGGGACCCGCCCAGGCGGCCGCGGCCGGATCCCCGGGGCTGGGAGCTGCTTGCTGAGCCGACGGGGCGGAGAGGAGCGTGGCGGGAGGAGGAGTAGAAGTGGGCTGGTCAAGGGAAGTGCGACGTGTCTGCGGAGCCTTTTTATACCTCCTTCCCGGGAGTCCGGCAGCCGCCGCAGCCGTCCCTGCGTTCTTCGGTCTTTGCTCCCGGGACGCAGGCTCCCCGCAGCCAGCCAGCATGTCCGGGATCAAGAAGCAGAAGACGGTAGGCTTCCAGGCGCGGGCTTCCCTCCCCTACGCCGTGCTGCACGCGCGGGCCCGCGCCCCCCAGACCCTCGGCACTCGGGTCCCACCCACCCCGGGAGGAGGAGGAGGAGGAAGAAGAGGGCACGGAGGGAAGCAGGAGAGCCAGGCTCTGTGTGGGATTCCCGGGGCAGCCCCTCTCCACCCCGCGAGGTCGACACGCCCGCGAGAGACCCCGAGCTTCCCAAGTGGGTCCCTATCAAGATCCAGGACCAGGGACAGGAAATCCCCTTTCTTTCTCAGGAGCGCTTCCAGACCCGCCTTTTCTTCTGTAGGCTCTCGGAGCAGATCGAGCTGACTCCAGGTCTGCCAGGTCTGCTGTCTGGGGTTTTGTCTATGGAACTTCCTTGGAGTGGGCTTTAATGACGGATCATAGAGGAAACTGCAATTATCGAGGCTAACTGGAGGAAATTGCATTTCTACACTGGCGGGATTTAGCCCTCTAGTTCGATTCTGCTCCCTATCAGCATTGGGTGGCATCTCGAGTTCAGTAATGAGGGATGGGGGTACCCCTCGGTTTGGTGGAGTAAGATGAGGGGACTGTGTTGAGGAGGCGCGGTTTTACCCAGAATTAATCTGAGCTGTCCTCTTTTAATGGGGAAAATGAGGGTGTGTCAAAAAGAAAAGTTTCTTTCCCAGCAACATGGGCACCTATCAATTTTGTATTCTTAAAAATGGCAGCAGCTCTATTTGTCAATTATACCCCAATAAAGCTGGGGGAAAAAAAAAACGAGAGCAGTGATCATAGACTCTTAGATTTGGAAGGAGCCTTCTAGACAGAAGTGGGGCGACGTCAGATGTGGTCAGCAAGCCTTGATAAAATCCCACTCAGCAGTCTGGCCGCTAAACGGACCATTTTCAGCCACCATCCTGCAAGCCTCAGATGATTGTACTGGTTACCGAATGGGTTCACCTCTCTCTAATAGGTAGACTTGCGATGGGCAAATAGTAGGTGCCCGATAAATATTTATTTCTATTCTTATATAATGTGTATACCAAAATATCTTTGAGGTGTATTTGTGGTGGGCCGGGGGAGAAGTTTAAAAAAAAAAACAAAACATAAAACCAAGAAGTGGGGAAGGAGTGTGGAGGAGTCATGCAGGGCTAGAAGTGTCACTTGAGCAGCAAGAGAATGGAGTGGGGGCTCTGCGGCTTCTGGGGATCATACTGGACCAGCAGGAGGGTCCAGGATGTAGGTGGCATCAATTTGTGAAGGGACGTTCATCAAAATCCAGCTGCCTTTCACAGAAGTAATTTTTAGGTGGGGGACTCTCTGCGTTGTAACATATTTTAAAACTAATAAATGAAAATCACTTGTATGTTATTCCTATTTAATGTGATTAATTTCTGTAAAATCCGAAATAGTGTCTTCTAAATGGCAAGCTGCTGTGCTAGTAGCTTTTTATATCAGTGGGGTTTTAATTCCCACCTTCCAGCTTGTATCAAGAATTCCTTCTCAGTTGGGATACGGGGCTTTGTGGAGCATTAGAAAGGGCCGGGGTGGTCTCTCCTCTTCATGCCTCCAGTTGGCAGGAGCCCAAGAAGAGGACGGTTTGAGAACAGGGTCATTACAAATCAACTGTGGGGCTCTACATAGTCACAAGCAGTGAGGAATTTGAGGGCTGGAGGGTTTGGTTTTTGTATTTACATATTCTGAATCTTCTATTTTTTGTCGGGTGGGTGTATGTGTGTGTCTGTTTTATGCAGCGTTAAATTAACTCCTGAAACAGCTAACTGAAATAGAACTTTTCTGAATTTTGATTTAGTCTAACACAGTTATAACCCAGGCACCAAGCCAAGTTCCCAATAGGGCTAGATAGGTACTATTGGTACTATTTACAGCAAGCTAGCTGTAAATGCATATGAAATCTCTCAGGCTTTAAATGTGAATTCAAAATGTGTTTTGAAACCTTGCAGGCCAAAGCAAAATCTGTCCCCTTGTGTGATCTCTGCACTAATCAATTATTTGGTAAGTCAGTCTTGACCTAAAGCTAGCTTAGGAGAGAAGCTGGGCTGACCTTCTTAGAGACTTATTGGAATCATCGCATTGTTTACTTCGTTGTCAACAGAAGACAGTTAATTCACACAGCAGCCACTACAGTAACTTCAAATATTTGTTGAGTACGTACTGTGTGCCAGGTGGTATACTGGTGGGGGAGGGGAAAAAGGAGATACCTCTTTTCCAGGTTTTTTTGGCCAAACTTTCTGGATGAATATTGACCTTCAGTTCAGACCACTCTAGGAAAAGTAGATAGTTTTGGTTTAATTGAAAGAGTGTAGGATGATTTTTTTCATAAGCTTTAGGAAAACTAAATGTTCTTTTATAAAGGAAGGTAGCACATTCCTTCTGTGCTATACATCTTTACCATGGAAACCAGAGAAACAGCTACCAGTCACATTCATCCCTTCATCCCTTCCACCCCTGACTTACCTCCAACCCTGGCTACCCTTTCACCCCTGCCCCCTAGACACACACATAGACATCCAGGAGAGGGAAAGGAACAGGCTGCTTCTAGGGGACTGGAAAGAAGGGAAGGCAAAGGCCTGGGCCCTTCCTCTTGCATCATTTCCCAGATTATCATTTTCCAAGGCCCATGGACAGTGTTGTTTTGTTCTGGAGACACCCAATCTGAAAACATTGACTGAAATATTAAGTTATTTTCTGAAGGGTCAAACAAGACAACGATTACAAAGGAGTGAAAAGATACTGAAAACCACAGTGTTCTCCATGGATGTAAGGGATTATCCATCCACCTTTTCCTTATTTGTTTTCTTTTTTCTTTGAGACAGGGATTTACTCAGTCAGCTAGGCTGGAGTGCAGTGGCGTGATCTTGGCTCATTGCAACCTCCGCCTCCTGGGTTTAAGCTGTTCTCTTGCCTTAGCCTTGCAAGTAGCTGGGATTACAAGCACCTGCCGTCATGCCCTGCTAATTACCTTTTCCTTATTTTCAGAACTGTGTACAGTTTGACATTATTTTTCTAGAAGTAGCTACTTTTTTTTTTTAGATGGAGTCTCACTCTGTCACCCAGGCTAGAGTGCAGTGATACAATCTTGGCTCACTGCAACCTCTGCCTCCCCGGTTCAAGTGATTCTCCTGCCTCAGCCACCCAAGTAGCTGAGACTACAAGCATGCACCACCATGCCCGACTAATTTTTGTATTTCTAGTAGAGACAGGGTTTTGCCATATTGGCCAGGGCTGGTCTCAAACTCCTGACCTCAGGTATCCACCTGCCTTGACTTCCCAAAGTGCTGGGATTGCAGGCATGAGCCACCATGCCTGGCCAGAAGTAATTACTTTTAAAACTATGTAAAGGCACTACCTAAGGCAAGACAGGAATTTCTAGATGAGCAACCACTGGAGGGAGGGAGAAACAAGCACTTCCTAGAGGCCAGACACTCAGACGTATGGGATTTCATCTCATCCCCTCAGCAGCCCTCTTCTCAGGAAACAGCTTTGACTTCAGGGGAGGAGAAACACCAGGGGCAGGGCGCTACTGAAATTCAGATCTGTCCAGCATCAAAACTCACGCTCTTGCTCCCTCTGTACTTCTGTTTCAGGATATAACTGCTCTGGCCCATAGTTTTCCCATCTGTAAAATGTGGGTAATAATAACTTACCCCTTACAATTGTTGTGAGAAGTAAATAACTCCTAAAAATTGTCTTGCACAGTGCCAGGCCCGGAGTTAGTGCCTCATATGCTGCAGCTATTTTTTTGTTTTTGTATTAAACTATATTGTCATGGTTTGGCATACATAAAAAGAAAAAAAAAAGCACATATCATACTGTTTTGAAGGCTCAGTAAATGACAACAACCAGAATTTTTGTTTGTTTGTTTTGACACAGGGTCTCTGTCACCTAGGCTGGAGTGCAGTGATGCTACAATGGGTTACTGTAGTCTTGACCTCCTAGGCTCAAGTGAGCCTCCTGCCTCAGCCTCCCAAGTACCTGGGACTACAGGTGCACACTATCATGCCTGGCTAACTTTTAAAGTTTTGTATTTTTTTGTTTGTTTGTTTTTTTGTAGAAATGAGATCTCACTGTGTTGCTCTGGCCAGTCTCGAACTCCTGAGCTGAAGTGATCCTTCTGCCTTCCAACCTGGCCAACCAGAATATTTAATAAGGGTAAAACAAATGCAGAAATATAGAGGTGGCCATTTGAATTCTTATTGTGAAAAGCCGGATAGAAGACACTGGCTGACAATTAGTGTAGAGGTACCAGAGTATCAATGAGTTTTTGCCAACAACTTTGGCCAAGAAAAATAATCCATGCATAAAGTAAATATTAGACTAGCTTCTCTCCACCCTTCCTGTGCCTTCAACTATTCCTATATCTACCTTAAAATTAGTGTTTCCCAATTCATGCCATCACCATTTATTAGATTATCTGCTTGGACTTTGTTTGGTACAGTTAAAAGATAAACGTGGTTAACTCAGTTGTATGTTTCTTTGAGATAGTTATCTTTGTCTTTTATCATTTTTCTGTTGATGCATGTGGCTCTGTGGTTTGCTTAGGACATAATTAGGCTTAGCTCTAACATGGAACATTTAGGGAATGAGAGTCTGAGAAAGGCATCAATGATGTCAGTCTCACTCCTAGGAGATTTCTGTTTATTTCAAAATCTATCACTAAGCATTCATGGACACTCATTAGGCTTTGTGTTTGGAAGTCTTAGGAAAATGCAGAAACTAAAGGTAAATAAACATAAATATAATGCTAGCTCAACTGGTTTTTTAGCCCCTGGGTGATTTCTTCATATGACACTTGAAACAGTATATATGCCCAGCACCTGACATTGATCCTGGCACAGATGAGGTGTTCAATAGTCATTGAATAAATGCATGAGTTAAATGGCTATAGAATTCATTAGAGGATGTATTTCCTCTTAGGAGCTACATTTTTCCAAGATTCCTCACTCCTTTTCAATGTCTTTGCGTGCTTGGTTATTTTTGACTGTGTATTTGTCATTACTACTGAAAAATTCCTTTCAGAGATTCTTTGAGGCCTGGGATGAATGGCTGTGTTTTTAGAGAGGATTTGCTTTTGTTTCTGCCAAGTATCTGGCCCCACTTCTAGCCTAGGACTTCTTTAACTTAAATTTACCACTTTTTAAAGACCTAGGTGATGTGAACTTGGATTGCTATTTTGCACCTCCTCGTGCTTGTGAATACAGCTTTCCAGGGACCACCCTACCCTTTTACACTCACTTTCTATGCCAAGACAACTGTCCTTGCAGTCTCTCTGAGTGGGAGGTAGGTTTATTCTGGTTCACCCGTATTTTTAGAGTGTAGTGTTTAGGAGCCCGGCTTAACTTGAAGAAGACCTTTTTTACTTTTCACTTGAGTGGGTTCTGGGCTTTGATTTCTGTTCCACCTCCCTCAGTGAAGCTGTCAAAATCAGTTTACTTATGCTCCTCTCAGCAAATATGCCCCTACAAGGATAAAAGTGCCTCTCTGCTTACTTAGCTCTTTGAGTTCCTGCTTTCTTCCAGATTTTGGCCTCATAGTTCCTTCCTATTTTGTCACCTATTTGTTGTTTTAATTTTTTTTTTTTTGATGGAGTCTTGCTCTGTCACCCAGGCTCAAGTGCGGTGGCATGATCTTGGCTCACTGCAACCTCCTCCTTCCAAGTTAAAGCAATTCTCGTGCCTCAGCCTCCCAAGTACTGGGATTACAGGCATGCACCATCATGCCAGGCTAATTTTTGGATTTTTAGTAGAGATGGGGTTTCACCATGTTGGCCAGGCTCATCTCAAACTCCTGACCTCAAGTGATCCACCTGCCTCCCAAAGTACTGGGATTACAGGTGTGAGCCACCGTACCTGGCCTATAGTTTTAAATCAGATTATTTTACATCATTACCAGCATTTATAGTTATTTTTAGTGGAAGCATCAATCTGAATAACCTAACCCATCACTGCTTGAAATAGAAACTGCCACTTCTTCTAGATTCCTGTGAATCATTACCATCTCCTGTCATACCTATACCTGACCAGACCTGTGTCACTCTCATAAAAGGAGTACTTTATGAACATAGCTAGTCAAAAATATTTAATTTAATCCTTTTTTCCCTAGGATGTACTACAGCATAGAGTGGGGAGTGCTCACCTTGTCTTGGTGGTCTCTGCCTATGCAGACATCCTTAGAGATGTGCACTGTCCTGTCTGATCCTTAGTGTTGGTCCAGTTCAAGTGCATTCTTGTCTGAAAGGCCCTTTCAGTTTAAACAGTTCTCCTTACTTCTTTCATGCTTTCCTGGGTACCCTGAGGCCATTTTGTTGCTTCAGCTCAACTCTGAGGTTGTGGGGATGAATTTGGTGTGATTAGTTAAGGTCCTTGACATGTCCCTAGTACTCCAGGAGTGTGGGAACTAGTTTCCTACTTTGCTGTGACCATGCAGGGACTTGGAGGAGCTCTAGGGGCTGCTGGAACCCACCCTCTTTTCCTCTGAGATCAGAAGCACACCCAATGCCCTCTGCTTTCAGAGCCCCCAGGGCAATTTGGCCTTCTTCTTCCCCAAGCTCAGCACCAGGGCAGGACACTACTCCCTGTTTCAGACTCAGACAGGCACCCAAGCTTGCTTTTCTTCTCTCTCTCTCTCTTTTTTTTTTTTTTTTTTTTGAGACAGAATCTTGCTCTGTTGCCCAGGCTGGAGTGCGATCTCGGCTCACTGCAACCTCTACCTCTTGGGTTCAAGCAGTTCTCCTGCGTTGGCCTCCTGAGTATCTAGGACTACCAGCATGTGCCACCACACCCAGCTAATTTTGGTAATTTTAGTAGAAACAGGGTTTCACCAAATTGGCCAGACTGTCTCGAACGTCTGACCTCATGATCCACATGCTTGGCCTCCCAAAGTGCTGGGATTATAGGCGTGAGCCACCGTGCTGGCCTGCTTCTCTTTTAATAAAGATTAAAGCTTTCCAGGAAGGTTAATTGGTTTATCATAAGCATTGGATTCTATACAAATTT